CACAGAAGGATGAAATTCGATAGACGCACAACTATGACTGGTTGTCATCACCTACATTCACACATTATAATATTATGTGGAGACACAATTGCTTTAATTAATGTACGCCAATTAATGTACGCCAAAAATGATCTGTGCAAAAACCTACTGCTCTTCTTGTTGTACAGGCACTAAACGCAGATTCTGAGTCTAAGGAGGAATTTTGAAATATGTGTCGTGTAAAATAATGTGTAGCAGTGGACTACAAAGCCTCGTTTAACAAAAGAAAAGAACAAGAGAAAAGAACAATCAAAAGTAAAAAATGTGGTGTGTGAAGGATCGCGAGAGGGTTTTGCGTGCATCGCTGCGACAATCGACATGGAGAGCTTCTCTCAAGATTCTCTCATAATAGTTCACACACACAGTCATTCGATGATTCACTAAGCTACAGCCTAGCTCTTTATACAAAAGCATAATCAGGTAATGAACATGGATAGTGACAGATCTACACTTTACCCAGAAGAGGAAGGGAGGGTAGGAGTCATACAAAACAGGGAATTGATGTAAAAACCCACAAACATGAAATCAGATGAGACTCGTGGAGACATCCAGTCTCTCACAGGTGCTGTACGAATTATAGCACAGTCTGAATACTGTACGCTAACTTTCACGCTTCGATGCGCAGGTTCCATTCTTAATGTGGAGTCCACCTGCCTAGAATGCAGTGTGTCCTGGGTTTCCGACCACCAGGGCAGCTCTTCTTTTGTTGAGCTATCATGAGTGTATGTCGACTTGTGTTTGCTTGCCTTGTCATCGACATGGTGTGGTTGCATAGTATCAGCTAACTAATTATGTGTGATGGGAATTGCACCAACCTGCAGATAACACCTTCCCTGAGAAATGTGTCAAATTGCTTGATTTGGAGTACTTTGGCTTGAAAATGCATGTGTGTCCATTCAAATTGTATAGGCAATGATACATCACGGTTAGCACAAAAAGAGATTGGCGATTTTCTGGTGGGATAGGCAGTATTTTGCTTGATTATCAAGCAATAAAGCTGGATGGTTGGTAGGTATGGAATTGCAGGAGCATAGGAGTGGCTGGGTTTTATAACTAACAGATAATGTTTGTCTTCTGCACTTTGGATTGGAGGATGTCTTAGAGCAGTACTGCTGCCCTGTTTCTCTCACTCGGAAAGCTATCAACTAGAACTTGCTAGAACAAGCTCTCACAGAGCTTTCTGCGTTAAAGAGATAGCCCTCTTACGTTAGCCTTTGTGTACTGTCAGTGTATGCTATTTCATGGCCGTGACAACCTTCTCCACTAGCGAGGACATCATCGTCGAACGAACAATAACCCAAGCTGATTAACATCTGCTGCACGACTTCTATTGTATGAGCGGTATAGCACCAGCCTAACCACGTGCGTCGTTCGTCTGCTCATGACGCACGACATCACTCTCCTCCAGTGAGTAGGCTTAGGGAACAAAAATGGACTCATCCATTGTGTATAACACGTAGTCCTGTGCTGGTGTAGTGTCGGTGGAGTGATGAAGGGAAGGTGCAGAGGTGGTGTCGGCAGGCTGTTTAGGTTGCTTGGTAAACGGCTCACATGAACTCGGCCTGCGGATCGATCCAGTGGGAACGTTTGTGTCTGTGTCTCACATTCAGTTCCATGTGTTAAAACGTACAGTGGGTCCTGGTTATATATATATCTATACCCATGGTGGACTATCCGAGTGCTAGCTGTGTGTGTCATAGTACAGTACGTTTACTCGGTATATATATACCAGTATACCTTGCACTGACATAGTGCGACAATGTAGTTGTGGCTTATGCTAAGCTATCAAGCTAGCTAGCCACCAACTGTTGTAATGCTTAATGGCTAAGCCAGGTGGAGATAATGGCGCCCGCCCCAAATAGTTGTAGAATGCCTAGAATTACACTATGCGCATAATGACAGTTACGCGTGGCCGCAAAAAACGCAAAATTGCGCGCAATTTTCTATGCGTCAGCAATCAGCGGATATGACATTATCCTGATTGCTATAATTAACAGAGTAAAGATGCTACGGGAAAGCATAGGAAATGTGTTTGGATTTCAGGTTTCGTGTGATAAAATAGGTCACTTCCTATTATAACGGTATGATCTATAGTAGGACACCCACTGTGACTAGGAGTCCCTTTTACCATCGTTAAAGGGCTTTCATAGGGGTGATGAAGTGAGTCGGTTTGGCGGACTGTAGTCAGTGCGACGGTGATGCGACGTACGTGGTATGGCGTGTGTTTCTTTGTGACGTGATCACTTGCGGTGGTACATCGTCTTAGGTGGTCGTCAGGTAGCTAGTGTAGGAACGTGGAACTGTCGCAAGTTGCATGGTGAGGTGTCTTAAAGAAAATTCACCTGGAGACGTAGTGTCCTCCCATACACTAGCTCTGCAGTGCTACATGTAGTGAGCGTGCTACGTCCTAGGAGGAGACCAACGGAGGGTCTCATCCAGTGCAAAACGGGAAGGATCACGCACAGAGCGGTTAAGTTGCCGGGGGAACGTCAACCTATCCTACTTCATGACTTAGTGTGGTGTAGGTGGTATGTGCAGATAGGTGCTCGCAGCTGAGGAGCTGTAGAAGTTTGGCACGCCATAGCTGTGCCTCAAAATGGCGACCCAGGGGTTCAGTGTCGTCACGATGGCACCTCAAACGTCAATTGAACTGGACAGTGACACATTAGACGCGAGCAACTTCACTTCCTCTGAACTCCTCAGGCGGTTAGCTGGCCAATGCCTGAGCTGTTCACGCCAGTTGATGAACGCAGACCTCTCTTTTCAGGCTTGTCCATTAATCTGAGCCGTTATTAGTATAGTCTTTTCATAGGCTCGCCTTTGGCGCTTGTAGTGCTGGAAAAGACCCAGCACAGTACACAGAATAATATGCGACACACACAGACCACACAGAATGGCACACACACAGACCACGTACTGTACCCGCATGCACACACGAGGGTTAACTACAGTTACTAAACACTTTCTTTGTGTGTCAGGAGCAAGATAACATAAAGGTAGTTGTGTCAGGGCCGCCAATGCTCAAAGTACAAACCTTGCGTTACAAAGGGAAAAGGTGGACTTTATTTAGGAAGATCCACTGGTGTATCACTCCCAATACCCGAATTCTTTAGGATGCTCAATATGTGTGAGGAATTATACTTTGCTGAGTGGGATCTAGGGTTGCAGCAACTGTTCAAACTAGAATCATGCCACCAGATTTAAATACGAAACAATACTTTTGTATGCATGCAGTAAGTGCAACATACAAGATAATCCGGCTGCTAGTGCTGCTAGCTGGCAGCTCTTGGCAGTCGCAGAGTAAGATGGAACATTGTGTCATCTAACACTGATTGTTGCGATGTGATAACAGGTCTGCTGCCCGTATTACGTTTGAACGCATGCATTGTGTACCACCTGTCCATAAACTTTGCGCGCCCACAATTATCCTACTGGTGAATTGAACTACAGAGTTTCAGTTACTTGTGTTGTTTCTGGAATTGGGTGATTATGTTTGACCAATGCAAAATACAGCCCAAGTTGTTTACAATGAGACGATGCAGCTACATTTGTCGTGACCATCACTTAATGCTGTTAGAAGTGCATTACAACACATCACTTTTGATGACACAAGAGTCATGTTACACTTTTTACAAATAATGCCATCAAATCTCGGTTCCATACACTCAAATGGGTAGACAGTTTTTAACCTTGCAGAAATATTGAAAGTGCAAACCCTCGGCTCATTGTGACGCGCACGCGTAAGTAAACGCATGCGCGATACCACTAGTTTTAGCTGGTCTTTGCCGGCTCGCGCAGAGTCTGACGCGGGCTAACTACACTACTAGATAGCATGCGAGAGGCGATACAAGCCTGCGTTGTCTCGAGGTACGCAGGGCATGTTGAGATGGTAAGTCTATTCGCATATTGCTATTTTCGCGCTCTACGGGTTGCTGTTCAGAGAAAACCGTTCGAAATTTCTGACCTTTCATTGCTGTTAAGTAGGTCGTATCCTTTGTGAGACGAACAAACATTCGAGATGTGAGATGTTGAGTAACAGACAGACACTCAGACCAACTACTGTACCCTCGCTGCGCATGCGCGCCGAGGGTAAACATTTCTGATATTGATGCATATGAGCCAGGAAAAACTAGCATCCCGGAATTCACACTGCATATGAAGCAGAGTGAATAGAACATACAGTAAAAGGAGGATCCATCACACCATTCACTCTTTTTTGCAGACTAACCCACACCCCAGGTACGACCAGCAGAAGACTCTAAGCCTATTCTTTCTTGTTTTTCTATTATACATCTTTTAATATGGGCACCAGTTTGAGTGTAAAAGGAGCTCGCGCATCTTGAAAAAGGAGTCGATCCTGATAATAATAGTGACACCACTCTTCATCAATGGCTTGCTCACCCCTGAGCAACGGAGCAAGGCAACTGCGAGAGCTGCCACAAAGGACGAGAAACTGGAAGTGATTTACACAGCTCTCCAGGAGCGCATTTCTGCCAAACCAGAAAAGTTTCACGTGGTATAATAGTGGAAATTCTCAGGGATATGAGCCAGCCTTGCAAGATGTGGGAGACCATATGGAACGTAAGACACTTCCTTCACTCAGTATAGTGTTTTGTATAACATTTTTTCTCACGCCAAAAAGGTAATTTGGAGAACGAGTGTGGAATTACAACAGAAGTTCGAATAGGCAGAAGAGGGAAGAGAAAGTCAAGTTGTTTAGCTTGTAGGCAAAGTACCAAGAAAACATTGTAGCTAATTAGCTACGTTATAGTAAGAGATACGAATTCATGCATGTACATACGGTTCATTTGTGTGCTACACCACGCAAACGGGGAAGGCCTGAGTTCCACGCTACTATTATATACACTTTCTGGCCCTTGTATGCTGTTACCCCACCCCCGCATGCATCCGCGCAATGACCTGATCTGTCATCAGTCGGCATGTTCGTGAAGTATATACACTCATCTTGGCAAAGAACGGTACCTTGACCGCTGCCCTCACCCACCGGCAGATGTTTCGAACCAATTCAGGCTCCTAGCAGAGAGGGGGGAAGAAGAGAGAACAAGATACACAGAATAAAACCTCTGAAAAAGGACCTCGAAATAAAGACACCCTCTTTATAAAGGGCAATTGGTTCTGCTCCACACAATATTAGTGTATTATACTACCTCCATTTAAAGAACGCCTCTGAAAATAGACAATTTTGAACTCTCGAAGGTGTCCCATAGTCAGGGGTTTCACTGCTGCTCACCTGTCCACATGCCAATCCCATTCCCCTCTCCCCCATTCCGTGCGGGCAGGACAGGTTCAGTTCCAGAGCATCGGCACCGGCCTCTCTGCCAGCTGACAGAGCTCCGTCCAGTCCTCCTTGGAGTATCCACACATCACACTGGCTACTACCACCTGCATACACGTGAGTTCACCATAGGTGCTTGACTATACACCACACCCCTGACCTTGGAGGGAAAGTCCCTCTTGAGCTCACTGACACTCTGTAGCCAGTATCCCGCAGTCTTCTCTGAGATGAGCTCAATGTTGAGGAAGGATCCCTGCCCCGGGCCAAACGTGTGACCTGACGTGGTCCCTCGCACGATGCGAGGTGACACATTGGTCACTATATCCTGCCAGGGATTGGGAGAGAGAGAGAGAGAGAGAGAAATTCATAGCTTGCATAAATTTGCCTTGTGTCAGCCCCTTCCCCCTCATTCCCTCTCTCTCGCTCTCTAGTTCTCACCTTGTCCAGACCGAATGTCTTTGTGACAGCGAATGCCCAGCCAGCCTCAAAGGCTCTGCGGATCATTGCCGAGCTGGTGGTGGGCGTGGCCGAGGCAAGCCCAAAGGGGTTCTCAAACTTTAACCCCACAAACTCCACGCTGATGTCAACGGTGTCGACGGGAGTAAAGAACTTTGGGAGCTGGGGTTCTGGAGGAATGAAGATCCCGTGCAGGGACTGCGGAATGGGAGAATGGGGGAAATTAATGAGGTTGAAGGAATCGTCAATATACGGAATTTCAAAAACAGTCTGTGAAGAAACCGACAATATATTTTTCTACTATATACTGTTGTCATGAGGCCAACTAAAGAAATATCTTGTCCTAAAAATGAACTTGTCCTAAGTGCTTGTCCTGATAATAAACCTGTCCTGCTATATAGCGTGTCCTGACCTGAAGGTACTGATGTATGAACCACGACGCCTGTTTGCCATCGTTGACGCTCTCCACGGTGGTGTTAGCCACGCCTGCTATGTCCCCGCCACACCAGATGTTTGGCTCCGACGTTGCCATGGTTTCCGGGTCCACCTCGGGGAATCCCCACTTGTTGAACAGCAGCGGAGCCATAGCCCCAATGACTGAGAGGGGACATGAGGGGAGAAGGAGAGAGACAGTTTTAGAGTCGGCCAGAAAGAGTAGAGTTGGACGGAAATATTAGGAAGAAAAAACCAATCATAGACATTTGGTGGTTGAGGAAGAGAAGAGGGAGACAGAATGACTCACTGCCCTGGTCCTGGAGCTGAGAGCCAAAGGCAGAGATGACGAAATCTGCCTTCAATTTCACCGTTTGTTCCTCATCCTCCACCCACTCCCCGCTCTCCAGCTGCACACACACACATCACACCCTCACACCCTCCCCGAGGTCACAGAGAGAGTAAGGGGCCCACCTGCTCCGTTCGACAGAACTCGATGGCCGAAATGCATCCCGACTTCAAGTGCACCTTCTTCGGGGAGTGGAACGGCATGAACTCACACATCTCCTCTCTCGCCAGCTCCATCTGTGTAGGAGGAGGTACCACTTCATTAGCATGGGGTTGAAACAAGTGTCCTTTGTAGAGAGGTCATCCCTATCTTGGAGGTCAATGATAGACTAAAGTATTAGCATGGGGTTGAAACAAGTGTCCTTTGTAGAGTGTCCCTATTCGGGGTCAAAATAACTAAAGTAGCATGGGGTTGAAACAAGTGTCCTTTGTAGAGATGTGGTCCCTATCTCGGAGGATCTCTCATCGGAGGTAATCATAAAATAATGCCAGGTTGCCCCTCAAATAAAAACATCAGATTAGTTGTATACAAACACCACATGCAGTAATACACACACAGACCTCCTCTGGGACGGCTCTGATGTTAGTGAAGCCTTTCCTGAACACCACAAACACCCTCCGGGCCCCGCAGCGGAGGGCAGAGGTCGCACAGTCAAACGCCGTGTCACCGGCTCCCAGGACAACCACGTTGCCATGGAGCTGGGGGAGGGGCTTGGAACATGAGGTACACATACCTGGAGACAGGCACCAAATGTTTAACCCAGAAATTTTTAGTTTCAAAAACCTGTTCACATATTATTTTCACGGCCTGAGAGACTCAACCAATAAATATACACGAATTAGACACTTGAGAACATTTTTTCACCTGGCTTGCTGGCTTTGCTGACGACGGGGAGGAACTCCTTGGAGGTGAAGAACCCATTTTGAGTGGTGAGTCCCCTTAAATATCGTGGGCTACTTTAGGATCGGGCAGACCAATTCCAATAAACACAGCCTCGTAGCCCACTGAGAGAAGACCCCGGATTGTGACTCCGCCCTCCCCGCCCAGACCACGCCCTAGCTCCACCTGTAAATCACAGCACAAATCACAACCTCATAATGCTGAGTGCAGTGAGTCAACCTAGTCATTTGTATAATACTTCTGCAGATTAGGCAGTGCAATGAGTCAACCTAGTCATTTTGCAGACTAGGCAGTGCAATGAGTCAACCTAGTCATTTTGCAGACTAGGCAGTGCAATGAGTCAACCTAGTCATTTTGCAGACTAGGCAGTGCAATAGTCAACCTAGTCATTTTGCAGACTAGGCAGTGCAATGAGTCAACCTAGTCATTTGCAACTGGCAGTGCAATGAGTCAACCTAGTCATTTTGCAGACTAGGCAGTGCATGAGTCACCTAGTCATTTGCAGATAGGCAGTGCATGAGTCAACCTAGTCATTTTGCAGACTAGGCAGTGCAATGAGTCAACCTAGTCATTTTGCAGACTAGGCAGTGCAATGAGTCAACCTAGTCATTTTGCAGACTAGGCAGTGCAATGAGTCACCTAGTCATTTTGCAGACTAGGCAGTGCAATGAGTCAACCTAGTCATTTTGCAGACTAGGCAGTGCAATGAGTCAACCTAGTCATTTTGCAGACTAGGCAGTGCAATGAGTCAACCTAGTCATTTTGCAGACTAGGCAGTGCAATGAGTCAACCTAGTCATTTTGCAGACTAGGCAGTGCAATGAGTCAACCTAGTCATTTTGCAGACTAGGCAGTGCAATGAGTCAACCTAGTCATTTTGCAGACTAGGCAGTGCAATGAGTCAACCTAGTCATTTTTGCAGACTAGGCAGTGCAATGAGTCAACCTAGTCATTTTGCAGACTAGGCAGTGCAATGAGTCAACCTAGTCATTTTGCAGACTAGGCAGTGCAATGAGTCAACCTAGTCATTTTGCAGACTAGGCAGTGCAATGAGTCAACCTAGTCATTTTGCAGACTAGGCAGTGCAATGAGTCAACCTAGTCATTTTGCAGACTAGGCAGTGCAATGAGTCAACCTAGTCATTTTGCAGACTAGGCAGTGCAATGAGTCAACCTAGTCATTTTGCAGACTAGGCAGTGCAATAGCAATTGCTGTAGTATAGCAAAGTTTGGTGTGCTAAACTTGTATATACCTTGACTCCGAGATCTTTCATCAGCTCAACTTCAAACGAGACGACATCATAAGGAAGTCGATACTGAGGAATCTCTGACGAACTATAGAGAAGTCATACATGGGACTCTGTAACTGTGACCGAAGTCAAAATGTATGGTGTTAAGGAGACTTGAGTGATGTTTGCATACTGTAAGGTTGTACTACATATTCACTGAATCGTTCCACACTCTATTCCCCTCACCTGAGTCCTCCGATGTAACTTTCCTTCTCAAAGATGGTCAGGTTCGTGTACCCCAGTCTGGCGAGGAACGTCGCACAGCTAATGGAGCGGGGCCACACCCAATTAGTGCCACCCTCGCCCCGTAGCTCTCCGGCAGCTGCTCCGGGGGAGAGTGGGCGGGGTCCCGAATCTGCGGCAGCCGCATCTCTTTGAAGACTTCCGTGGCAAACTGCTGCAGACCGCCAATGTTGATCGGTCCCTCCTCCGAGGCATACAGGTTGCATCCACCGACACAGAGGTCAGAGGTCGGACAGACCATTCCGCACGTGAGTCCGAGAGGATTGTCAGAGAATATGGCTTTACTGGCTCCATAGTAGTTCTGATGGGGTGGAGGGAGGGGGGAGGGAGATGGCACCGGAATCATTAGTGCTACTATTTTTGCGACAAATGAACGATCAACAATTGCACTGCCACTCGCTTCCACAGTTTTTGTATACGTATTTAGAGCATAATGCTAAAACCTGGGGTGTGGGTGGTAGAACATTCTGCATAGACGGCTGGGCCACCCAGTGCAGCTCTTTTTCAAAAAAGTGTTGTCCTGGATGTCGTCACTTATAAAATGGGGCGGTGGTGTGACTGAGTCAGACCAGACAGAGACTGGCTGACCTTGTTGCTGATGCTGGTTATGAAAGATTTGATGTCCAGTTGTGTGGGACACGACTTCTGACACGGAGCGTCTGCACACTTGAGACATCGAGCGGCTTCTCGCAGAGCCGCTCGCTCGCTCAGCGTCGTGTGCTTTATGTCGTCAAAGTTGTTCCGTTTGCTTCCACATGTCTGAGGATATTAGAAGTGAAAGAAGGAGGTGGGTGAGTTTTGTAGCCAGAAGACTTACGGTGCATTCCTTGTCTTTGTTCCTCTTCCACTGTTTCTTGGCCGTCTTGGTCCGTGTGGTAGAGACGAGGGTGGCGTGGGGTTGGACCCGCGGGTTCAGCGAGAGCAAACTCTGCACAACAGACACAACAGAGAAGGGGCGAGAGGTAAAGATCAAAGACATGCTGTGCACTGAAGCGGACCCGCGGCAGTATGTGTAGATGTTTGTGAAGGTAGGTACCTCAATGTCTGGAGGATCGCGAGAGATGTCTTTAGTCGACATAATGGCTGAATGCTCTCCCAACAGGTTGGATGGACGAGACGACGGCTAGCTAGCTGTGCATATGCTGCCCGATCGATCGGGGAAAAAACGGTCGATCGCTCGCATGCGCGCGCGCAGATCAAGTCACGTGATATAAAAAGGGCGTGGCAAAACAAATTTTTCCATAAAAAGGGAGGGGCTGGAGAGGGCACATAATTAATTATCATCGGCGGCCCACCTTTCCCTTTTGCGCTATAGTCTTTAGCCATAGGCTTTGGATCGAATGATGTCTTACTCTCCGTACACACCGTGGAGCAGTGAAGGGTCGCCAAAAGAGGAAACGAGAGGCGGAGGCGGCTGGTGGAAGAATTTCAAAAAGCCCTGGAAGTGGAGATCGTCAGGGGGCGTCGAGAAAAAGCAGCAGCAGCAGCAACCTGAACCGTTGTACACGGCCACGACGCCGGAGGAGAGGAGGGAGCGGTTCGGAGCCTTCCCGCCCATGATATCGCAGCTCATGTTTCTTCAGGAAAGAAGAAGCTCCGAACCACTCACCAAACCAAGCCTCAGAGAACCTGCAACCGAAGACGCCTCAGAGGAATTTGAGTTGCCTCATTACGAGGGACAGAAGCGACCGCGTCTAGACAACATTTTCCCCATGCACGATCCTTTGCCTGTCGACAAAATAGCAGCTTTGCCCCCGGTGGATAGGCCCCGGCTCGGGGGAGTGGTCAGCACGTTTGGAGACGGTGGATTGAGAGGGAGGGAAAGAGTGGGGAGAGGAGAGGAGAGGGAGGAGGTGGATGGTGGTGGAGTGCACGTGAGAGGAGCATCGGTTGACTCCACTGGCTCTGAGGAACGATCACTGGAGCGGAGAAATAGGAGAATGGGTGTGGTCAGAAGATCCCCCAGCTTCCTCAGAGGAGACTCGACTGGAACGACGCCCAATCTCTTCCAGAGTTTGGTCACCGTCGTCATCAGCGACCAACCCCAGCTCCAGCGGCTTCGCCATTCGATAGACGAGTCCTCGAAGTTCCCCAGCATCACTACCGACCGTTCAGCCCATCCCGAGGAACAAGGGGACACGATTTCGGCTACACTCCGTGGGGTTCGCCACCAGAAAACCTCCCGACCCTCTCAGAGGAAAGTGAATCTGGTGACATCAAAGGTTTCGATGACTTCAAGCTCTACTGATGCACACGGCAGGCCACAAAATCATTTCGTTATTATATATACCTCTGGACATCTCCGACATACTTCTGAGCATTTCTTTCATGTATATATTTACATCCAGGAAGTATATAAAAATAGGTTAAAAAATAATAGTGAAATGTTTATGATTGGGAATGTTTGTGTTTGCTTTTCTTTCTCCCGTCTTTTCTCTTTACACCCCTTTTGTCAACTTTCAACTTTCTCTTCTTTTTCCGACTCTTTCTCTCTTCCTCATCTTCTGTGGACTCACTCAAACCACGCCTCCTCTTCCTCTTCGACGACCCAACACTTGACACTTCCTTCTTTCTCTTCTTTTTTACCGATGAACTGCCATTCTCACTTCCCCTGGGTTTAGGTCTCCTAACCTCTTCTTCTTCTTCGCTATCATTGTCTTCACTGGACGCAAAGTCTTCAGCATACAACTCCCTATATCCACTATGGCCCCACCTATTAGGATACATGAGAAAATGAAGGAGAGGGAAGGGTATGATAGTGTTGAGATGTTGTTGACCTGCCTGGGTCGTTTTCTTCTTGTTTGAGCAGTCGCCGAGTCCAGTAGCCCTCCGCACTGTCCCTTACTTCTCTCGGCTCGTGGTGGGCGTGGTCTTCCGGTGAGGTTTGCCTTCTGTGTGAACGGTGTGAGGTGGGAGGAGGTGAGGAGGGGAGAGTGTCGCTGAGCAGTCGGCCTCGCGCTATCATGGCCCGCGGCTCGCGGACGCGGAAGTCTCCCCAGTGAGCGCTCTTCTCCAGCTCCCTCAGTCGCCACATCTCGCGTTGCTCCTGCATCTACAACGTCCGCAAAAAAAAGCCAGCTGAAACGGAAGCTTGAGACGGTATGTCTTGTCTTACCCTGTTCAGAGAACCGGTCTGGGCCAGCATACTCTTCAAAAGCCTTTTCCCAGACATTTCCCCTTGTTTACCACCGACAACTGGAACGACGAAAAGATCCTCCTCACTCTATATAATGCCCACCAACAGTGCAATTCGCATTCCACTCCGCACGGACTGGGTTCACGTTAGAAGTAAAATTTATACACAAATTTATACACACATGATACGGTGCCCACAAATTTATTAAAGGACAGACAGTGCAAAATAAAAAACACACAAGAAAGCACAAGAAAGTGGATGTGGTCATGGGCACACGGCACAAACAACTACATTACAATAATTCTTCACACGAAACAAGAAATCTCACACACTCGTGTACTTTCACTCGTAGTAGTTAGCATTATAAATAATAATAATAACAATATGAGTCCTGTGGTAGCCCCCAATTCTCTCTACGCTGACAGGTGGGTGCGGATGTACTCGTACACTGAGTCGTATATGAAGGCATATTCCTGCATCGACTGGACGGTGCCAGGTCGTTGCAGCTGCATGTTCTGGACAGCCTGAAATACATCCACTGTTCTCTCGATGCGAAGTCGCTCAATGCAGAAACACAGCGAGCAGAATATTCCGGAAGGGCCTAGACTTTTCCTGCAGGGAAGAGGAGAGGGAGGGTAATGGGGAGAACGTGAGAAAGAGAGGACGGAGGAGAAATAGAGGTGGTCGAGGGAGGTGGAAGACCCAACAGCATAGGGGAGAGGGGGGAGAACTGGGAGAGGAAAGAGAAGAGAAGAGAGACTGACGTGTCGTGGATGAGTGCCTTATGGTTCCTCTTCAATCCATTCACTCCCTCGAGAACGTCGCAGACGAAGGAGACAAAGGATGGCACGGGAGGCAGGAACGTCGACGTCCAACCGACAAACTGATAATGCATCACTTTCTGAGACACTCCCAGCTGGTACACATGTAGTCATGGGACAGACAAAAACAAGATGTTAGTGGCAAGAAGGACATATCTTTCAATCACTCCTGGAGGTGCCGTGCATGAAACTGAGTGTCAACATTTGTATACACAATGGTAATGTAAATTTTCAAAAATGTAAATTTTCACAGCCATTAAAAATTTCACGCACGCACAAACACACATGGTGGATTAATTACAACCACCTTGGCATTGGCGATAGAGATGACTCTGGTGGTGTAGTAATGCTCAGCACTTTCATCTTCCACCGTCACCTTTATATTACCATACGTCTCATGCCCTCCCTTTGTCGGCCAGTAACTGTAGTACTGTAAGAGGCAGAGGGGTAGAGAGAGAGAAAGGAAGAGTGGGGAAAATAGAGATGTTGGGGAATGGGGGAGGTAAATCAGGCAGATAAAGGAAGAGTATATAAGATAAGAGCGGGAGGGAGGGAGGGACGGGACATCGTCTGTTTGTATCGCAGCTGACTGAGCTTTAATGGAACGTTATGCACACTGCATAAACTGTGCAGCATGCTGCAAAAAACATGGTGATTCCTGATGATTGTACTCTGACCTTGTCATCATAGGGAGTGAGCATGATGACATAGGAGCAGTCCTGATCCCAGACCATCTGCCAGAACTTGCCGGCATTCCTCTCCTGTGGCCCGTCGGCTACCACAAACAGTTTGGGTGTGAAGTAGGCGTCGATGAAGTGGGCGTTGTACTCGTGTGGGTTGACTCCCTCAGTGTAGGAGGCTGGTAAAAGGAAATTGTGTAAAGCGATACACTTTGGGTATTTCTATATACCCCTGAACGAAACATCATGTGAATCACATGATTTTCATTTGGAATGAACTATAATTTTGCATGACACACAAACACTTTGAATTGCTGTCAAAAGTGAGCCGCAATAGTCCTTACAAAACCATGCACCTCTTCAAGAGTTGTAAACCGACATCAAGCACAATACAAACTGAGTATATATCTTGAATTGGTACCGAGTGAGGTCTAATGAACACTCTCTCACCGTGACCGGGGTAGTGAATGCTGCGATTAGTCGGTCCCTTCTGCTTGACTCTCTGGACGAAGGTGGAGGCCTTGCTCATGGTCTTCACCGAGCCCAGTCTGGCGTACTCCTCCTCCAGTGTCTTCCCCCCCACTTCCTTGCTCTTCTGCTGGAGACTCTGGTAGCTCTGGGAGAAGTCGGAGAGAGTGAAAGAAGTGTCTCCGTAAGTGATGGCCTCCAGGATGGCGTAGTGGATGAAGGCATACTGCGTCTGTGGCAGAGAGAGAGAGATACAGATAATTTCTATGGATTACATTTTCCTATCAACGTTGACATTTTACATCAAGTATGTCTCCCATTATACCTCAGTCTGGACCATATAGTTGCGATGCTCCCTCATTCGGCTCACAAACCCTCTGACATCAATGACGCGATCTGCCTTCAACTTTGCCAGGCAGTAGTCGATGCATATGACGGTGCCGCTCCGACCGACACCTGCACTGCAGTGCACCAGAATGGGCCCCGCGTCGGCCGGGTTGGAGGAGTGGAGTGCCCGCAGGAAGTTGAGGAGAGGGGCAGCGAGTTTAGGGGTTCCGTAGTCGGGCCACTTGGTGTAGTGGAACTGGAGGACCACCTGGCTTTGGGACGAGGGTACCTGGGAGGGAGGAAGGATGGTTAGTTGCACTGCATTCTACTGCTATACTCAAGGTTTTCAGTTCTGAATGGTTTGTTAGGGTAGATAGAGGCGAGATACAACATAGGGACAGCCGAATGAGGCAAGATTAGAGGATTGCGAAATAGAGGTGACAAGGATTGCGAAATAGAGGTGCGATAGAGACAAGGATTGCGAAATATAGAGGCGAGATAGAGACAGAAAAATGGAGGCGAGGTAGGGTCGATCCGGGCTTACATGAGTGACGGTGAAATTGCGAACAGTATAATCCCTCAGTTCCACCACATTGTCCAGTTTCACGTCAATGTCGCCGTATGTAATGGAGCCCAGTGCCGGGGAGGGCCAATACTGAGCACATTTTACCTGCAGTCATAGACACAGTCCAACATGAGATGGGGAGGTAAGAGGGAGGGAGGGGAGGAGGAGAAAGAATTGGGGGGGGGGGGGGGGGGGGGGGGGGGCAAGGGGGCAAATAGAGGGGTCTGTGAATTCCGAACATTCCATGATGGTTTCAGAGAGAGTAAGACTTGCTGGTGCAGCGAGGTGAGGTGTGTATATAGTGCTTGCCTTGCCGGCCTCCACTAGGTTAGTCAGCATGACAATGGTGGCTGTGTTTTGCTCCCAGACCATCTTCCAGAAGTCACCCACCGTCTGCTCCAGAGGACCCTGCGTTGAGATGTACTCCTTTGTTTTCTTGTAGCCCTGTCAGAGATGGGGGAGAGGTGGGAAGGGATGGGGGAGAGAGAAGAGATGGGAATACAGCTGTCTGTTGCAAATGGAAAGCAAACAGACCGGGATGAAGTTGGCGTTGATGTAATCTGAGCCTTCCTCACCCTCCAGTGGAGTCAGCACCACCCTCGAGTGATCAACTACACACACACACACACAGAGATAGAGACACAGATTAAATGGAGTAATATTATGTACATACACATCACAATACCGAGACAATAAAGACTTTCACCATTCACAAATTTGACCAATTAACAAAAGTGTTTTGCGAGACAACTTTGGTATTTTTGCATCATGCACACCTCAAACTGTGCTTGCGAAAGATTGCTAGTTAGTGATTTGCAAAAGTCCTTTGACACAAAAGGGTTAACTACGTGGTATACATAGCTAAATCAATCACTCACAGGCCTTGATGTTACTGTATCTATTTTTATCATCGTTGATTGGGAGAGAGCTAGCTTCGGCCGAAGGATCGGGAGCATTCATCTGGATCCACTGCATACACACGAGAATAATTAATCAACGACATCATCATGACATCATCACTCACGTCAAACTCCCGCTGGAAGAGGAGTTGTCTGTTCTCGTCAAACTTGTCCACATGTTCTCTGAAGACGTTGATGGGGATGGCCTCACTGGGGATCAGCTCTGAATCTTCCTCCGTCAGATCCATGGGCTTCAATTCCATGGGGATCCCCCTCCGGCAGAGCTCGGGGGTCGAATCATGCGGGATGTCCATCGACCCCTTGGACGAGGAGGAGAGAGAGGCAGAGTGGGCCTCGAGTCTGTATTTGTGGCCGCGTCGCCTGCGGATGCAGTATACGAGGACCAGGATTAGGACCAAGGCCGCGATGAGGATTAGAGAGACTATGACACCAGCTGTAATGACTCCAGTGACTGCCGGAGATAGGGTGCTGCTAGAGCTTTCAGAACTGTCTTCAGGGCCTGTGTGAGAGAGAGAGAGGAGAGATGATTTGAATTTGTGATCACTTTGAGGTGATGTGGAGACAGGCGTCGTTGCATATTGTAATGGGAGTCCAGTTTACATGCCTACTAAGATAGTTTTCACGAAGGTCACCGTGGTAACCGGTAACAGTAAATACATAGTCCACTGAATGCGTGCGAATCATGCCGACAATGTGGCATACTGACGACATGTGGCTGACCTGTTTCTTGTACAGGCATGTAGTCACTGGAGTTAAAGATGAGGTCCTGCCTCCCTCCCTCCTCCGCCTGTCTGCGTGAGCGGCCGGCAACACTGGAACGAGGGAAAGCCCGGAGGAAACACGAGTACTTGGTACCGCTGAGGAGAGGGCCGTTCTTGTACTGCGGACTGTACTTGGGCTGTCGGCCTCCACCGATGACAAACTCTCCACTGAAATCTCGACCAGCAATCTCAGCTACAACGTAAAGAGAACGAGGGGGAGAACAAAAGAGATGTACAATTTTAGCTCAAGATGGAGAAAGAGAAAGGAAGGATGAAATGTAAAGTTGGTAGTTGGTTTGTTGGTAAAAAGTTTTAGCTAAAGAGAGAGAGAGAGAAAAAGATGAGGGAACACAAAAAAGGAAAGATAAAAAAGAAAAAAAGAGGAGAAGGAACTGGAACAGTAAAAAAAGAAAAGAGGAGAAGGAGCTGACTGAACTCTCCCTTGTATATACACTGACCGGCAATGTAAGGTCCCTGCAGTGGTCGCTCTATGGAGGCGTCATTGACTGTGGTCTCATTAAGGAACATGTAGCCAGCGGGGTAGTCAGTGTCAGGATGATTGGTTGGGAGATCTTTCTCACTTCTCAGTCTCACCACCAGCACCTACAGCAGGGTTTTAGATCACACTCACTCACGCAGTAACGCTGACAAAAAATGGCGGCCCTGGGTGGGACCTGGACAACCATTGAATCTAGTTGCCATTGTTGCATCTCACCACGCTCGGAACCCTTGGTTACTGGCCCTCCAATGCATGTTCAGTACATTGATTTCAAGTCTAGTCACAAACACCAGCTTTCCTTCACTATAGCGTACCAGGTAGTGGTTGATGGTGCTGTGGTCAGAAGGCAGGGGAAATCGAACGGTGATGTTAGTGGAAGGGAAGATGCCACCCACAGGTTCGACCGCCTGGGGCTCTGAAGGTGCCTCTGGATCTGTACACACACACGCAACATAAACACACACATAATGACAATTTTTGGTTGCTTCCACGAAAACGTCAGAGGGCACTTAGTCACTGGAACTCACAAGTGTTGCCATTACCGCTAGCATTCAACGTTGGCTCTATGGCTGGTGCAATGGACTCACAGTCTGGATAAGTGAAGCCGTCGACTAAACTCGATGATGTCATCGAGGGGAATTCCCTCCCAACGAGATCGGAGACAATGCTGCGGACAAGACAGGAGTAGGCGGAGTCAGAGAGCAGCCCGGTGACATCGGCGGAGGATGAGGTCCCGGGGACAGTTTTAGAGGAGATCGTCTCTCCTCCATTGGTAGGGGTACAGACGGAGATGTGGGAGGAAAAGAGGTAGCACTCTGTGGGGGTGTTGGTCCATGAGACAACGAGGGCAGTGGGGGGAGAGGAAGAGAGGGAGGACACGGATATGGCGGACACGGCTGGGAGGGCCTCTGAGAGGGAGGGAGAGAGAGGAGAGATAACATTTCCTCAAATGTATGTATAGTTATACAAAGTTCATGTAAACTTTGACATGCTACGTGCATGTGAATGCTACTTATCAGCAGTGGCAAACTACACAATTTGCACAGAGCACCAATGAATGGTCTCACTCTCTCACACACACTGCTCAAATGTATAGCTCCTTACCAAAGTACAGTTGAACAGGTCTGTTTGTATCTGTCTCCGTGGACACGGGTGAAACTCCGCCCCTCTCGTTACCACTACTGATTCGGAAGACGTAACTCACGTTTGTTTCTCCCAAAGCCTCCATCACACCCACCTCCTGCACTCACACAAACACAAAACACGGAGAAGAGAGAGAACATGGCAGGAGAGGACTCATGAGGCTCAGAGGGTCAGTCACATCAACAAACACACGCCCTGACTATTCAGGAGAATAGACACTACCCGTGGGTGTCTGGCCACCATTAGAGAGACTGGTGTATACAGACTGTATGGTGTGCCAGATATCCAGTCAACACTATAGCTATCATAGCCCATACATCTATGATGCTAGGAACTTTACCCATACTGCAGTAAAGCCACTGTCCTAATGTCCCATAAATACACTTAGAGAGGGTTATGTAGTTGCACTAAGTACATATGGTACAGTATAGGGATATTTATTATGTGGAGGAGTGTGCCAGCCAGAAGTCCCGCCAACACTGCATTATGAACAGTGTACTCCTGTACAATGGAGCACCATACGCTGTGGTCTACAACTCAACACTATAGCTGACGACTGCACTAACACAACAACAAGTCTCTATGTAGTGAGCGTTATATATCGCGATGGCAAATCTGCGACCTAAAGCCAAACTGAAAGAAAAACAGACCGAAGCAAAACTAACTTTCCATCAGTATTCTGTACGGTTTAGTTCTCTAAGTACAGTATGTATAGGAATGGGCTATATATTAGCATCATGGATGTATGGGGTATGATGTGGTTCTTAATCTGTCCCATATGAACATAATAACTGCCACCCCTCATTCTATACCCCAAAACATTTCAACCACCACTAGTACATACTACCCAGTAACTCACTGAGGTAGAGTATGTGCTCTTAATCTTCCCCACGACCACCTCCCACTCTCCCCCCTCTCCCCCAGCTCTGGCCTCGATACGATAGAACGTGGGAGGGAGGGCGGAGTCTGTGTCGACGGGTGGTATCCAGGAGAGCTCCACCCGGCAACTGGAGAGGGTCTGCACCACGGTAAGGTTGGTTGGTGGAGGAGGGGGAGCTGTGAGTGGTGGGAGAGAGAAGATCATTTCCTCTCTGCGTTCCAAGGTTTCTATATATGCACACATCGCATACTTCCAAAAGCACACAAGATGTACTACAAACTGTTGATCCTGCAGCTTGCCATGTTTACCTACAACAACGTCAGATGTGGTGTGACTGAATGTAGAATCACCTCATTGGTGGTCGCCCATGGCAACCGAACCTTCCATATTGGGTGTGGCTCCGGCATGCTTCAGTGTGTATCAGTGCAAACTCACCAAAATAAATATAAACACACACCAGCCATATACTGTTTATACAAGGCTCCCTCGCTTCCTGGTTTGTCACCCCGACACCAGCTGGACCAGGCCATACCTTCCCCGCCAATTTCCATAGAGACTTTACCCAACAAGGTACTGCGTATAACACGACAACAGGCCCACCGTGTATATACCACTGGGAGCACATTGGGAGCAGGTTACATGCTGTTGCATAACCTCTACTATATCCTCGTGTAAGGACATGTGTCGGACACATGGACAGGAATTAGCACATGTACATGATTACTGTACTGTGTGTGGCTCTGTGTACCAGGTGGGCCTATGCATACTTTGCTGTGCTATATGTGATAATACACACAGAGTATATATACTAATAGGCGGTGTAGTTCTGAAGGTCTAAAAAATGTTTACCTAACACTTTGAGAGTTTCAGTGGCTTCTCCAGAGTCGGGCTCATCTTCCACAACGTTGGTGGACCGACAAACCACGTCCACCCCATTGAATTCTGGACTCACAGTAATGGTCAGATGTGACTCTCTTCCTCTGCGGTGGCAACACACAGATACACAGACATAATGGGATAGGCGTGTAAGCGCTGGCACGCATATTATTATCTCAATGTATGGGCATAATGCAGGACAACCTGTGTCATCCCTATATACTAAGTACTACCGTACTTAGTGATAACTTTCTCTTTTTCTCACTCAACATTCTACAAGCACAATGTACCCACGTACAATGTAATATCGCTTTAGATCACTCCATAGGGAACACACAAGGTGACCCTCAAGAGAGAAACATCATCAATTTTAAAAACGCGAAAGCGATCCCTCACAGTTTTCTTTCCAAAATCCATGAATGGGGACATAATAAAACCCCAAGTTTTATTAACGTTTCGCAAAAGAATATTTCCGGGTGTAATAATGGTGGGGTCCACTCACTCATTTCCAGAAGTAATGGCGATGTAATCTTCATTCCCACTGACCAGACTCCCATTGACGTACCAGGAGAAGGCAGGGAGAGGATCTGCCATTACATCACTACAGTTGACAATGACTGCCTCTCCGTTGGCCGAAAAGTTGGTGGAATAATCAGTCGGTGCAATTACGGATATTTGCGGAACAGGAGAAGCTGTATCACAAGAGGAGAGAGATGCCAAATGAGTCAGGTGACTTCTAAGTAAGTCACGTGATGGCTAATCAAATTCTTAGAAAGCCAAGTGAGTGCTAATCAAATTTGAAGATGAGAGGAGAAGCTTATGCCGGAAGAGTTAGCTCAGCTCACAGTCCATTGTCAGTGAAAACACAGCATTCCTACCCAGCCACACTGTAACCAACACAGCAATACATACTCTACATGAGGCTGGAGAGAGCATGTGGCTAATTCCTTTAGCCCCCCTCTATATTGCTACTTCCAAACTTGTACTGGCGACTACTACAAGTCACTCAGCCACTGGAGCCAGAACAAAGGGATCCTGGTGCACTAGCTACGTATGTGTTCTGACTCCTAGTAAAGTGTACCCCAGTTGAGTCACATGACACTTGGGAAAGTCTGAACACCATCACTGATACTACATTGTGTAGCAACAAAGCCACAGTATAATACTATGTACACCCTATCATTGACATGTATATGTATCTCATTGTCTGACATAACTTTGTGCTTTACTGTATCACCTTGTGTAACTCACCTTCAACATTTAGTGTTATCGATACGTTTGTCTCCCCAGCAGATGTGTTCACAACGCTTACATAGGTTCCTTCCACTCCTGAATCAATCTTTTGTTTAAGAGTTATCATGTTGAAAGTCAGAGCGGCAACATCAACAACGCTGCTGTCTTGAACTCCATTGACAAAGATGGGGTCTCCATTGAAATACCAGCTGTAGTCGGTGGGCTGAGGTTGAGGGTCTCCAGATCCAAAGACAGAGAAAAACGGAAGACTTGTTCGAGAGATGTCTCTCTTTAGTCCTATCACCTCTCGACTTGGAATCAGGACTGGGTTACCTGGAGTGTGGACGTACGTGCGTGTGTGTTTATCAATCCAGGTGGTCAATCATCCAACATGTTATGATTGTATTCATGCACAAATGCATATACACACACATGCAGCGGTTTACAATAAAAATGTTTGGGCGACATTTTTTCAATACCTGTGCTGATGTTGACGACAAATTCTTCTCCACTTTCATCCATGCAAACATACTCTCCAACCAAGTCCTCAGTGAACAGTTGCAACATCAGAATCCTCATGTTCCCACTGCTAACAACATATACTCCTGAGACTCCGTCACCCACAGATGTTACCGTGACCACTTCTCCTTCACGACGCCATTCCATTCCCTCACAGGAGATCTTGTACGTCTTACCAGGGACCAGGGGAATGGAACGGGGACTGTCACTGAGAAAAATTTCAAAGTCCGTAGCTCCGGGCTCAGACAACGTCACCATAAGACCTGGTTGGGGCAATAGGTAAAACCCTGGCATTATAAAATACAGGCTTACAGGATTACAGTAGGTTGATAATAGTGTGACTAAACAGCCTTTTCAAAAGCAAAAACTACACACTGAATGACTTTCCTACAACGTGTCGACCAAAAAGCGCGTTTTAACTATATCCTACATGAATACTTGCCGCTTCGCTCCTTTCTCTAGCTGTAGCTCTTGCGTCAGGTTACCATACCTTTACCTAAGCCTCCGTGAAGAACGCTGCACAGGGCAAGCAGGTAGCCAGCGAGTTTCATGATCAACTGGCCGATCTGCTGCCTCGTTTTCTCACTCACTCCCCTGTGTCTTTCTTCTCTGCTGTGCTGGCTAGCTGGGTTGATAGTGATACAAAAGGTGTGGCAATCAAAATTCGCCAGTGTCAGAAGCCACGCCCATTGCGCATGCGCTACGTAATGAGCAAATTAAGCGCGTGCGCGTATTAAACTGCACCTTTAGCTAATGGCGGCTGAATGAGCAGTTAACGAAAAATCAGCATGACAAACTCGCTCATAATTATTGTAATAATACATAATACACAACCATCCAGTAACTACATGAGGTTATGTCTACCTCCGTTGGTTCTCTAATACATCATCAAGAGCCATGATCACATTTTAATACTTTCATAGAAGCACTCGGTGGTGGTTACACTCGCAGACTCTGCACTGCAGGCGGGCTGGCTCACACGTATGGAGTAGGCTCCATTTTCCTCTGTTGTGAGGCTCATGTTAGGCCCAGTGGCTGTCCCTGGATTATGTATAGTGCTGAACATGAATATCGATTATCTGGGAATCATCATGGTTACAAAATGCAGCACAAGACTGCGAGAATGGCATTCAGTACTTTTACCGTATTCTTTCCTCTTCTGACAGCATACAACTACCAGTACGACACTGAGAGCCACTACCAACAGAACCAGACAGATGATGATGATGGCACCAATGATCACCAGGAGCATTAAATTTTCACCTGTTGAGTCTTTAGTATGAAAGTTCTACTGTAGCATGCATTATGCACTATACCTTTTCTGCCTCCAGGATGTTTACAGCTATCGTCTGTATTCTGGTGTGTAAGTTCACTTATATCTAAAAGTAGAAGAATACTCAAGTGACAACTGTTATTTTATTGCTCCTCTACCGTGACAAGAAAGTCCATCTCCACTGAATCCAGGATTACAAATACAACCAGCGAAATCAGTACATGTGGCATTCTTGTGGCACGTAGTTGCACACTTGTTTATTTCTGCAAACAGATAATATTATAATAGAGTAGCAGTCCCTCCTAACAGATGAGCACTATGACCTTGACAATAGAGACCATCTCCATTGAATCCAGGATTACAAATACAACCAGCGAAATTAGTACATGTGGCATTCTTGTGGCACGTACTTGCACACTTGTCTATTTCTGCAAACAGATAATATTATAATAGAGTAGCAGTCCCTCCTAACAGATGAGCATTATGACCTTGACAATAGAGACCATCTCCACTGAATCCAGGATTACAAGTACAGTCAAAACTTCCGATAAAAACAGTACATGTGGCATTCTTGTGACATGCGGTTTCACACACATTTGTATCTGCAAAAGAGATAGATCTCACTACTTTGCTGTGTCCCAAAAGGGCCAGTTGTTTACTGTCCCTCACAAGATAAGATAGAGGAGAGTTTATACTATAGCTGCTCACCAAAAACGGTGAGAATTTGTGTTGCAACTTCAGAAACAGTTCTATCCTCCACCACATTGCTAGACTCACAACTGATCTCTACTCGACTGAAGGCAGAGACCACCTCAGCTATGGTCAGATATGACTCCCTGCCTCTGGGAACACACACACACAGAGGTCAGTAATGATATCTTCTCCATTCAGTCCGTAGAAATATAAACACATACTGTCTGCTTGTGTACTCACTCATTTCCAGAGGAGCTGGTGATAACCGAACTTCCTGACCCACCAATGTCACTGATACCCCAGGAGAAGGTGGGGATGGGGTCAGCCATTCTGTCACTGCAGTTAAACACTACAGTCAACCCCCCAGTAGCCAGGGAGTACTTTTGGATGACAGATATGACAGGATCAGGTGCAGCTATATACAGATACAGAGTAGAATAGCAAGATTATGTGGTATCAAAGTAGTCAAGCTTTACTGACAGTCGAAGTTGACTAAAGCATACTCAACTAGCATGCAGTTTTGAGAGGTATTTACAAAGTTGCTGTAATGTAACAATGTGGAAGTGCTTACTAAAGTCTCTATAGAGCTATAGCACAGAAAATACATCGAACCTTGAAAACAACTTACCTTCCGTATTTAGTGTTATTGATATGTTGGTGGTCCCAGCAGTTGTATTGACGACACTTTCATAAATTCCTTCCACTCCTGAATCAATCCTTTGTTTAAGAGTTATCATGTTGCAAAGTACTTCTGAGAACAGACTGTCAACATCAACAACGCTGCTGTCTTGAACTCCATTGACAAAGATGCGGTCTCCATTGAAATACCAGCTGTAGTCGGTGGGCTGAGGTTGGGGGTCCCCAGATCCAAAGACAGAGAAAAACGGCAGACTTGTTCGAAAGATGTCTCTCTTTAATCCTATCACCTCTCGACTTGGAATCAGGACTGGGTTACCTGGAGTGTGTGCAAGTGTCCGTTCACCAAGGTTAAAAAGTACATAGTACTTTTCACTTTCGACTATTGTGCTTAGTCTCAACTTCAGAATTTTGTGGGACATTTCAACGCAGGGTTTTTGAAAGAACCTTTGATGATTCTGCACGGAAGGTGTTATTATACTTAGAGCAGTGATATCTGGCCATGTATTTTTGGTTGCATGGGTTTGGAAAACTATATTATTCTAAAGAAAAACAACCTAGCAGGAGAAGAGGTTCACTTCAGTCTCCTGACCTGTGGAAAGGTTGATGACAAATTCTTCTCCACTTTCATCCATGCAAACATACTCTCCAACAAAGTCCTCAGTGAACAGTTGCAGCATCAGAATCCTCATGTTCCCACTGCTAACAACATATACTCCTGAGACTCCGTCACCCACAGATGTTACCGTGACCACTTCTCTTTCACGACGCCATTCCATTCCTTCACAGGAGATCTTGTACGTCTTACCAGGGACCAGGGGAATGGAACGGGGACTCTCACTGAGAAGTACTGAAGAATACTCAGCTCCAGGTTCAGACAGCATCACCATCAGACCTTCAGCAAAGAGAAGACAACAGAATATTTGCGGGAGATAGCTGTAGCTAATTCTTGGCTAATTATTGGTATTTGTCTGCAGTTACCAAAGCTGCCGTGAAGAAAAGCGAGCAAGTAGCCAGCGAGTTTCATGATGATCCGTTCGGCGAGCAGACAGTCGTTTGTTCGCCGCGCGTGCGCACACGGGCGATTGCGCGTGCGTAGTACTCAAGTAGGCAAAAAAAGTGTTTTACAAAGGGAAATGAGCTAGCAGCTGAGGTTCACACTCAAATCTGAGATCGCTCAGGAGCCCAGCAATGGCTCCCTCGGTCTCTGCCAGCCTCTTTCTGAGGTCTCTCTCCTCGTGGGCCTCCCTGCTAAATTCCTCTTCTTCACTCTCTTGTCTCTCCCTCCCAACCTTTTCCAGTCTCTTCATCTGATACTGCACTGTCTAACAGAACAAAGATCAATTCTATACCCAGTATTCTACACAGGGGGTCTGTTAACCAGTTGTAATTTCTCTTTCTCCTTGAGTTGGACATCCGTGAGGATGGTGGCCGACTCTCTTAGTTCATTCTCTCTGAACCACGCCACGTGAGAGAGCATATCTTGCGAGAGCTGGGCAAAGGAGCTGGTGACTGCTTCCATTTCGGCTTGATATTCCTCCTCTCGCAGGGTCTTGTTGCAGTACTGACTGTGTACCCTGTCCGGAAAAGGCAGGAATGGGTTGAGAAATATCTCGAGGCGGTTTTACTTGCCTCTCCAGCCTCAAATACTGTCTCTTCCTCCCCTCCTGGACAGAAAACACCTTCCTCACCCTTTCTGCCACTACATGATTCATCTTGCGCGCGCGCCGTCACGCTCCAACCGCGACCGCGACCGCGACCGGCCTTTATAGGGGGTGGAGCAACTTGGCATTAACCACGAGGTCGATCGACACCCCATTCGATCCGGGCAATGGAGGCAAAGGCGCATAGCTCGCCGTCTGAGGCGGCCGTGGAGGCGGCCGAGACAGTGGTAGTGAGAGGAGTGGGGCTGAGAGTGGTGGGGGGAGGTCTGGACGTCAAGAGAGAAGTGGGCAAGGACCTGGAGCTGTGCTGCAACTCCACCAGCAAGCTCTGCAGCCTCCGCTTCTCCACAGGTGAACTCTCATTGACTCCGCTGTCTCTCTCTCCTGTTGAACGCGAGCCCTTTTTTCTTCTCCGTGGTCTAGAAAGACCTTTGGAGGGAGATTTCTAGTAGATCTGCAGTTTGTAAACCATTTGCAACCTACCTCCCCCCCCTCTCTCTCGCTCTCTCTGTCTTTCTCTCTCTGTGTGACAGGTGGAGAAGTGGTGTACACACTCGAGGTCCGAGGAAGAGGAGAGGTGTACAGTGCTGACTCAAACGTTCTTCTCTTCAGAGCTGACGAAGGCTCGGCAGTTGCTGTATTTGCAAGTGATACTGGTGAGTGGGCGGAGCCTCCAGGCAGGCTTAATTTAGTTTTACTGTGGAGGAGGGTGGGTGTGCTAATACCTATCTACATCAATGGTGTGTGATGGGCTGGTGATTGTGACCAACTAATATGGTTAAGAATGCTGGCTGCACTCATTCACTGCCAGCAGGTGCTCAGTACATATGACAGTCTGCACCCATTCAAGCCTGTCCAGCCCCTCTTCTAATGTCATTTACAACCGCCTAACTCCTCGCCTCCTCTTCTTTCTCTCTTTCTCTCTCCTCTCTTTTATGCACCTCCACAGATGCAGCGAGGATCCAGAACCACATAGTAAGGAATTTCTCCGCAGTGAGTGAAACGAGTGTCTTTGACCAACGAACGGAGGAGGCATCTGCCAAGCAATACTTCCAATTTTATGGCTACCTGTCACAGCAACAGAACATGATGCAGGTGATTAATACTACCCACAGCCCCTTACACGATTACGTCGTGATTATTTTGTCGTAATTAGGACTACATCCGAACGTCGACGTTCCAGACGGCCATCCTCCACAACCTGGCAGACTTCAAAGACAAGGTAGCCAGCCAGACAGTGTGGTTAGTAGTGTGCATTGCCTTCCTGTTATACTCCAGGTCGTGCTTGACGTTGGAGCCGGCACAGGTAAATATTTTCGTGACCTCGCCCCAATTTACCACTTCCCTCTCTTTACTTCCTCTTTTCATTTTCTTTCTAATGCACCCCACCCCTCTCTCTCCTTTCTCCATCTCTTCGCACAGGCGTGCTGTCATTCTTTGCCCTCCAAGCAGGAGCCAGGATGGTGTATGCTGTGGAAGCTAGCAATATGGCCGCACACTGCGCAAAGCTCGTGCAGGCCAACAAGTACTCGGACAGAATGAAAGTCATCCCCGGCAAAATCGAGGAGGTCCGTTTTATGGCAGTGATGTCATGATTATGTTGGTCCAATTAGGTGAATATACCGGAGGAGGTGGATGTGATTATATCGGAGCCTATGGGCTATATGTTGTTCAATGAACGAATGCTGGAGACGTACTTGCATGCAAAGAAATGGTTGAAACCTGATGGTAAGAGCCCTTCATGTAATGACTGTTTGTACCCTCACCCCTTCTCGCCTTCCCTCCCTCCCTTCCTCCCTCATCTTTCGTCCCTCCCTCCCTCCCTCTTACCCCCCAGGTAAGATGTATCCAACGCAGGGGATACTATATGTCGCCCCATTCAGTGACGAGGCACTGTTCCTGGAGCAGATGGGCAAGACTTACTTCTGGTATGTTTGTGCCTCCACGCTGTTCCAAGTGAACGTCAATATGTGTCTCCTGTCTTTCTCTCCCTCTTCTCCCTCTTTGTTGCAAAAACATTGAGTTGTGAGACACTACTAAGTACTGTGTAACCAAAACTTGCAACTACTGTGGTTTGGTCAGCCATTGAGCACGTCTCTCCCTCCCTCCCCTCTCCCTATGCAGGCAGCAGAGGTCATTCCATGGTGTAGATGTTTCAGTCTTGCACTCTGAGGCCATCGCAGAGTATTTCAGACAACCCATTGTCGACACCTTCGACATTCGTATCCTCATGTCGCGTCCCGTCGGACACACAACTGACTTCACCTTAGCTCACGAGAAGGAACTCCACAAGTAACCTAGCTGATTGCCAATTACCCAGGGTTTTACCCCTCCCCCTTCCTCTCTATCTCTCCTCTGCTAGGATTGATATTCCTCTCCAGTTCAGAACACAAACTACTGGCTATATGCACGGTCTTGCTTTCTGGTTTGACGTAGCTTTCATTGGAGCAAAGTGAGTCCAGTAGTCACAGAAGAAAAGTTTTAACAGTTCACAAAAAATACCCACTCAACTAATATTCCTGTAAAATTGTAGTTCTGAAGTTGCGAAATGTGTAAAGTTTCTTCCACCAAAGTTTCCTGCCTATATCTAAATTTTTCCCTCCTAGAACTACAGTTTGGCTGTCGACGGCTCCGTTCCAGCCACTGACTCACTGGTACCAGGTATGGAGTACGGGGTGGCACAGGGTAGCATGTTATAGAGTCGTGGTGTCCCTGTGTGTCTGCAGGTTCGTTTGCTGCTGCAACAACCACTGTTTGTAGAGGAAGGCCAGGAGGTAACCGGCATTGTCAAGATGGTCGCAAATGAAAGGTAGAGAGATTAGTGTCACGAAGTTGAAGGAATTCTCAGTCAGGATTGTTTGTCTTAGGATACGCAACAGTTGCCTCTCCTTTCCCCCCACAAAGCTTGGGCCCTTGTGTATATATATAGTGTGACATGTTCTACTTCACTCCTCCAGGCAAAGCTACGACATCACAGTAGATGTGAAGGTGACTGGGAGCAGTCTGGAGTCCAGTGGTACATACGACCTCAAGAACCCCAACTTCCGCTACATGACCACGCCCCAATCTCCGCCCGGGACTCTCCAAGCAAACCCCACCGAGGCCTTTTTCGACTCCCAGTCAGTCCCCGGAAATGTGGGTGTGGCCCCGCCACTCTCCTCCGCCTTCGTCCAGACACACCCCAAGTCCACGCGGTCGTCAGCGATGCACATGATAGGAGTCCTCCAGACCGGCACCGAGGTGATCCCTGTCGTCAATGGCAGCATTATCAGTCCATCTGTTCAGCAGCCGTTGTTGGGTGGGCTCCAATTAGGACATTCATCTGCTGACCCCACCCACCCATCTCCATCGTTGTATTCCCATTATCCCCATCCCAGCCCTCAGCAACATCACTGGGGCTCTGGTCTCCATTCCGTACCGACTTCGGCTGTTAATCAGCATGGAATGGGGACTGGAGGAATTGGAATTGGACCTAATCAGCATGGAATGGGGACCGTTCAGTATGGAATGGGGACAGTGGCACAGGCTCACCATGTGAACATTCCTGGAGGAGGAAATATGTACCAGCATAAGTGGGCCTCTCCACAGCATACTGTTCTGGCCTCTCTGTCGTGATTAGCTAGCCTCTCTCTCTGGCATGTATAATCTGCTGTATTATTGTGGTTTTAGTGCACGACCAATCTATGCACGTGCGTCCACGCATGCGCAGTGTTTATGGTACGAGGTGGCGGCGCGCGCACTAGATTACGAAGAACTGTGTGTAATCTCTCGTGGGAACGAAGTACGTACTTTGGGGCCGAGTACTGTCTCACTCTTCTGTTGTCTGTGGCGGATTTAGTTGGAGCCGAGAGCCGTATTGCTAGTGGCTGTTTTGCCTTCCTTCAACAGACGCAAGCAGCAGCTGCCGCCATGTCGGACGACTGGGACGAGGGAGAAACGACTACTTCTGTGAGTGGCTCCGCGCGTCCAGCCGTGTGCGCGTTTTGTACCTTATTTCGCGGCTTTTTAGTGGTTCTGTTTGCGGCTGTGTAAAACAACTTGCTAGAGATTGACCGGGCTCTAGCTGCCGCCCAAAACCCCGCTGTTTACAGTAGCCGTGTAGGACTCCTAGCTGCATATATATACCGTGTAGACCGCGTGGCATGGCGCCGGAGGAAATCCGCAATAGAATTTGCTCGTCTTTCTGTGCGCTAGGAACACCACGTGGTCGCTCCGCGTGGGTACTATAGTGTTGCTGCTGTTTGTGGGTTTGCACCTTCTGCCTACCTCCCCACCTCCCTCCACCTGCTTCCCACTCTACTCTCTCTCTCTCTCTCTCTCTCTCTCTCTCTCTGTGCTGTCTGCTGAAGGGCTTCTCAAATGGGTTTGGAGACAGTGGAGGAGGAGGAGGAGGTTTTAGAGGTGGGAGAGGAGGAAGAGGGTTTGGAAGACCTAGTGCAGCTGGCGTTGGCCGAGGGAAAAGAGGTGAGATTTTAACGAACGATTTCCATATACAGTGGAACTTACCCTTGAAATGAGGACACATCTCTACTAAAGAAGCCTTTTATTTCCCCCAAGAACAGCTCCTGCCTGTAGTTCAATTAAACCCCTGAAACGAGGACACCTCACTAGTTTGTTCTGACCCATTGATGTCTGCATTAGAGGGGTATTTTCAAACGGTGCTTATTCCTGCAGAGGGGTTTGGTTCCCAGAACCAGCACAACGGAGGAGATGGCTGGGGCGAAGATGGCGGCGGAGGGTCTTCCGGATTTGGAGGTGGACGAGGAGGGAGAGGGGGAGGGTTTGGTGGAGAGGGACAAAAAGGAGGATTCGGTGAGATTCCACTGCCGTTTGTGTTGCTCTGTTCGCTGGTTGTGGTGTCAACATGGATACTCCATTCCAATGGATAAGCCAATGATGAGCCTTATATGTCGGTGTACAAGTTTTTGTTTTGTGTCGACGAACGAAATTACAGCAAGGTCGTGTGTGTGCAGGTGATGATGATGATGGAGAAGGAGGAAGAGGAGGAAGAAGGGGAGGGTTTGGAGGAGGAGGCAGAGGTGGCGGGTTTAGAAGAAGTGGTGAGATTATGGCACATGGTCGGATAATTTGTGGACTATGTTGATATTACCAGGCGACAGAGACAGTGGGTTTGGAGGTGGAGGTTTTGGAGGTAAGGTCATTTCTTCCCCTGTGGTTGCAACTTTGTTCTATTTGTCTCTCTTTTCTTCTTTTTTCTTGTCTTTCCTCAAGGTGATGATGAAGATGGAGGGGGAAGAAGAGGACGGAGAGGAGGGGGGAGGGGAGGGAGAGGAGGGTTCGGTAAGCTGGCTTTAACCACTTTACAAGTACATGTAATGTATGAATATTATATGCCCGCCCTATCGCTGTTGTTGTTAGGTGATGATGAAGATGGAGGGGGGAGGAGGGGAGGTTTTGGAAGAGGAGGAGGAGGAGGAAGGGGAGGGAGAGGAGGATTTGGTAAGCTCGCCATTACTTACATAGGCCAATAATGCCAAAATTTGTGTTTACAACACATTACAATTACGTGTAATGTGTTGTGCAATAGGTTGCAAGCAATAAACCGTGGACCTTTTCTATTGAAGTTTCTTGTTGAGAGTTTCACCATGTACGAATAGCCCCCCCTCTTCTTGTTGTTAGGTGATGACGACGAGGGAGAAGGCGGAGGAAGAGGAGGAAGAGGGGGTTTTGGAGGAAGAAGAGGGGGCGGAGGAGGGTTCAGCAGCGGCGGTGGCTTTGGTGAGCGAATCATGCTGTATACTTTTGAAACTTGAGAGACCTGTTGTGGCTCATTTGGCCCCCACCAAAAGAAAGTTCTGTTCACCATGCTAGTTTGGTGTTGGTATTTTGTACAGGTGACAACGAGGGAGAGGGGAGAGGGGGAAGAGGAGGATTTGGAAGACGTGGTGGAGGAAGAGGGGGAGGGTTTAGTGGCGGAAGTGGCTTTGGTGAGTGTGTATTTCTCTTCGTTGAAGAGATGGTGGTTTCCTCTCTCTGTAGGAGGTGATGACGAGGGAGAGGGGGGAGGAAGAGGAGGAAGAGGGGGTTTTGGAGGAAGAAGGGGAGGAGGAAGAGGAGGTGGAGGGTTTGGTAAGCTAGAAAAATGTGTGTTAGTCTGCCGTGGTTGATAGATGCGTTCTATAGGTGGTGATGATGATGGAGAAGGAGGAGGAAGAGGAGGAGATGGAGAGGGAGGTGAGACCACACACACACACACACACTAGTTGTACCTACGGTGATTGCCTTGACCGCCACTTGAATGCACACAGTATGCATGTAGTCCCCTTAACTCTAGGCTGTCTGCATGCAACACATGTGATGTAGTCTAACTCTAGGCTGTCTGCATGTAACACATGTGCACACTCAAACAGCCACACATCTCTCCTCTCTCTCTCAACCGGTCCTCACGACCCCAGGAGAGAAGAGGAGGGAGTTCTACGTCCCACCAGCTCCACCAGAGGAAGAGGACAAGATCTTTGCCACCATGGCGGCCGGGATAAACTTTGACAAATATGACGAAATTGCCGCCGAAATCACAGGAAGTGATGCTCCTGCTGCAATCGCGAGGTGACTCGTCGCCGATCAACCGAGGGTTCAATATCTCTCTCTTTTCTCTCTTCTCTATCTCCCGGCAGTTTCGATGATTGTGGTTTTTTCGAGACGACGCGGAAGAACGTGGAACGTTGCAGCTACGTGAAGCCGACGCCCGTCCAGAAGTTCTCAATTCCCATCATCATGGCCGGGAGGGACCTCATGGCCTGTGCCCAGACTGGATCTGGGAAAACTGTATGACTTTCTGCTGTGTGTTGTTGTGTGTGTGTTGTGTGTGCTAATATGGGCAACTGTCCTTTTGGCTACTTACGAAAGTAGGTTTAAAACCACTAAGTTTTGCGTGTCCACCTTCTGTAGGCTCCTAATTCTGATGTTAAAATGCACAGTACACTTTCCAATTTCAGATGCCTGTCATCTCACTCTCCCTTCCTCCACTACAGGCTGCGTTTCTGTTGCCCACCATAACTCGACTGATCAAAGAGGATGTACCGGGAGCCAGTCAGAACGATACCCAGAGCCCCGAGGTACTGATTATCTCGCCAACGAGGGAGCTCACCCTCCAGATCTACAACGAGGCGAGGAAGTTCGTTCACGGCTCAGTCTACCGCCCCGTGGTGGTATACGGGGGAACGTCGGTGGGCCACCAGTTGGCTCAGGTGGAGAGGGGGTCCAATATTGTGGTGGGGACCCCCGGGAGACTCATGGATTTCCTCCGTCGAGGAAAGGTGAGGGTTCGTGGAGGGCTGGGAGAAAGTATAGTTGTCTTGGAGCACTTGTCTCTGATTATGGCATGACAGTTTGTGTCTATAGCAACAAGTAACAAGTTTTTATTAGCAAATTTCTTTCAAGCTTTTAGGGCAGTGTGTGTGTGTGTGGTGGAATGAGCAAAGGGGAAGGTTTATTTATAGGAACTTCTCAGTTTCCATAAAAATGGCCAAAGTCTGAGAGAGAGAGAGAGAGAGAGAGAGAGAGATCAGGGTGCCAGAAGTGAAGTGGAGGTTGACAATGGTAGGCCGGTCAGGTCCTGTGGGGTTGTGGGCAGGACTGTGGTGGGGGTCTGTAGGAGCCCATTATGTCTCTCTCTCCACTGGCAGATACTGTTGAATAACCTGAAGACACTGATCCTGGATGAGGCGGACCGCATGCTGGACATGGGGTTCGAGCCCGAGATGAGGAAGATCGTCTCCGAGTTTGGGATGCCGAATGTGGGAGAGAGACAGACTCTGATGTTCTCTGCCACCTTCCCAGTTGAGATCCAGAAACTGGCCAGTGAGTCGAGGGAGGAGGGCAGAAGAGTTTACCCAAGTTTAGTACATAAGTCTCTGGCAGTGTGCTCTAAATGGAACCATTAGTGTCTACCATTATGTCTCTAGAACATAGTCCAAAGCTTTAAAATGTGTGAATTTGATCTAAATAAAGTTAGACTTAGTTGTGTAGTAACCTTAAAAGTGGGATATTTCCCAAATCCGCAGATGATTTTCTGCACAACTACTTGGTCCTGACCATTGGAGTGGTGGGAGGGACAACTAGCGACATCGACCAGTCGGTGGTGGCGGTCGGGGAGTACGAGAAGAAAGAAAAGTTGCAAGAGATTCTCACCAGTGCCGGTGAGATCTGGGATCAGGACACCCCTTCCTGGTGTCCTGAATTGTTAGGACACCCTGTGAGGTGTCCTGGTGTCCTGGTTTTTCCTATTAAGATGTGTCCTGTTGTGATCAGGACACCCCTCTGACTTCTTTTGAACTCTACCCACCTTTTTCTCTCTCTCTCTGTTCCCCCGTCAACATCATCTCAGGAGCCGACAGGACTCTTGTGTTTGTGGAGACCAAGAGGAACGCTGACTATCTTGCCAGTCTCCTCTCCCAGGAGGAGTTCCCCACCACCAGCATCCATGGGTCAGCATTCCATGTAGCTACCTCCTCTCTATTCCATAGTGTTCTATGAGCATTACTGCAACTAGAACTGTGCTAATGGTATAGAACATGTCCCCTAACCCCCAGCAGTTTTAACACAGCCATGTTAGTTTCAGGTGCAGCCGGCCGATTTGGTAGCTCGCCCAGTTTGAGTTAGCTGTGTGTAGCTACTGGTAGTTACTCATTGTTCAGCTTTACCAACAATGACAACTTGTATATATGCACAGTGTCAACTACATGTCACAACTACATGTCATATGTATGGGTGGGTATCTGGGTGGGTATCTGGGTGTGTGTATGCACAGAGATCGACTACAGAGGGAGAGAGAGGAAGCCTTGCGGGACTTCCGCTCCGGGAGATGTCGGGTCCTGGTCGCCACGTCGGTCGCTGCCCGAGGCCTCGACATCCCGCAGGTGAAACACGTCATCAACTACGACCTCCCGGATAACATCGAGGAATACGTCCACCGCATCGGGCGCACGGGGAGAATCGGGAACAAGGGACAGGCGACGGCGTTCTTCCAGAAGGACCGCGACCTCGCCCTCGCTCGAGGACTGGTGAAAGTACTCTCTGATGTAAGTCTCTCTCTCACTCCTCCTATATTGATAAACTCAGTCCTATTGAAACAGTTGATAAAGGCAGCAACTGTAGCTGCATTAGGCAGCGGCTTTCTCAGTGAGTGTTGGTGCATGCTTCATTGTTTGGGAAAGGATTGTATATACCTGCTAAGGGTGTGTGTTGAGCTCTACTAGAAGAGCTTACATCATACCTTTGATTCCATCTGTCTCCGCAGGCCCACCAGGAAGTGCCCGAGTTTCTGGAGCAAGCAGCCGAGGAGGCTGTCGGCTCTGACTACGGGCCAGCCGGAGGAAAGTTTGCGTCCAAGGATGCTCGAGTGAGTACATCATCTTTACCCCCTCTCCTCTCCCTCTTCTACTGCCTCTGTTTAGTAGCTCTACAAACAGTTTGTACTTTTTAAAGACAATTTCTAAGCTTTTTCCTTCTCTGCCCTCCCGCTGCATAATTATAGTTTCTTTTGTCAGCCATTGCACAGGTATGATCTTCCTTTCTCTCACCACCCATAGTTCAACAGGGAGAGAGGAGGTGGAGGAGGAGGAGGAGGGAGTTTTGGAGGTAATTTCGGCAGCGAGGGATTTGGTGGGGGAGGAAATGGGTTTGGGAGTGGCAGTGGTCAGGCGCAGGCCGCGGCTGGAGGCGGAGATGATGAGGAGTGGTAGGAACAACCTCTCTCTCTGTCTTCGTACTACTTTCAGGAAACCCAACAGTATAGCAAACAAGAAAAACTCAACAGTATTATAAGTGAAAAAGTACAATGTTAATTTGCCAGGCACTGTCAGTATGTAACCCCAGCCTCCACAATCATGTAATGCTGTGTAATCGATTCCATTGTATTCCAGGATTCATTTATTATGCTGTACATGGGGCCCTATACTTGGGCTTTGTCATTGATCATCACAATCATTTATTCACAGGGCCTTCAGCCCAGTTGTAATTGTAGCTGCATCATGTATTAATGACTGAGAACACTGTTACCATGGCAGCACTTGTGTTATGTATGATGTCATTCTCATTTGCAGTTAATCACTTGTCACTTTAGACATGGTGATGTTCCATGAAAGTTATTGTAACTTCTTGAGTGATATAAAATTTATTGCGCATGCTGCACAAACTGCGTGTGTTAATTCCAACAAATAATGCTTTCACATAAACTGGCAAAAATAATGATCAAAATTTAGAATATAGCATGCAGCCCTGTCTGAGAAGTAAACAACTATGTGTGGACAACAATATATTCTGATGTGAGAGTCCAGCAGGGAGGATAAGGTGCGAGTGATTTGTAATGCTAATCCTACTGCTATTTTCCATTGTGTCTGCAGAAAGGAAGAAGAATAGAGAAAAATAACAGACTGAAAAAATTCAGTAGTAGAGAAAAGGTTAGGAGAAGACAACACAGGGAAAGTGGGGAGGGGACAAACTTAATGTGGCAGAAAGATTTGATAAGATAGAATTAGGTGGCTCACTGTGAGCGGACTTGCTCCTCCCATCGGGCAGCCAGAGCCGACTTCTGCACCTTCGGCTTCAACTGTGACAGAACAATGATAACCTATGACATCACTATTACATCATAATACACACCTCGACCTCCTCGAGGTTCCTGGAAGAGCGGTTCTCCTCCTTCCTGTGTGTCTTGCTCTCTCTATCCCTCCTCTCCTCTCCCCTCTTCCTCGCAGTCTCTTCCTGGAGCTGCTGAAGCTTCTCCGGGTCTAGTCGGTTGGCCTTCATCTCCTGGTCCCGCTCCTGGAATTCCCTGCAGACCACACCCCCCAGGGAGGAGACAAGTAGCTGGAAATTTGGACTAGCAAAAGGTTTTCACTGTGGGATGCAAACTGAACAAGTGGCTGGTTTTGATCAGATTCTCAGTTTTGCACCCCATAGAATTCCTATGGACATTATTCACTGAGGTTGAACTAACTGGTAATCTCTGGCCATTCTCTCTCTGGTCTTCCTGATCTGTTCTTCCTCCTCCCTCCTCCTCTTCTCCTCCCTCTCCTTCTCCCTCTCCAGCCACACCCTCTTTCTCTTCTCGTACTCCATCTGCTGTCCGGTCGTCATTCCTTGTGTCTTCTTCTCCTCCATCCACACAATCCATTCCTCTACTGTCATATCTGAGAGAAATGGAGGGATTAGTTTTCAAAATTTCGTGAATTTCGAGGCTCCTCTCTACAATTCTTGGACGTTTCGTTTAATGCAGCAACGTGAGTACAAAAGGTGAGCAGAACACCTGCTGGAATGGTTTCAAATGTTGAAAGTGAACAAAAGCACCTCTCAGTCACTAGATGGACATACTGCGCATACCTCACTACACCGCTAGCAAACACACACCTTGTTCTGTTGCCTTCTCTCTCCTCTGCTCCTCTCTCAGCAGCCGCTCCTCTTCCTCTCTCTTCTCCCTCGCCCCCTTCTCTCTCTGGGCCTCTCTCACCTGCTCCTCATCCTTTGACAACAGGTTCTGGAGCTCCTGCAAGACACACAACACCACAGTCTCTCTCACTTCACGGGCGTGTTCTTCATTAGACTAAGTTTTTAGTCACAAAATCTGCCGGTTGAACTAACTCTGTCTACACTCATTAAACCTCTTTACTCTCTCACCCCCTCCTTCACCTCTTTCTCCCCCAATACAAATCAGGATCCATTTCTCACTGACATACAAAACTATATATTGTACCTGGTCCAGGTTCTGTATGGTCTGGTCTGAATCAATGGTTCTCTTCCTCTCCAGTGATTCCTCCTCCAGAGCTCTCAGTCGCTCTCTTTCGAGACGGTCCATCTCCTCTTGGTACAGTCGCTCTTTCTCCTCTCTGAGAGGAGGGAGTGAGGGAGAGGAGGGAGGGAGAGAGGGGTAGTGACCCCATATTCCGTTACAGTCACCCACGACCTGAATGGAGTGGCTCAAGAGCCGTGCCTGCCAGCTACAGTGTAAGTGTGTTGAAACACAGCAACTATCCTGGCACACCGCACTCCAAGAAATGACAAACTCCACACACTACCATACTTACAACCTCATACTGCATGTGTATAGTAACACTGCATCAGTATAGAGGCTGCATACATTAAGTATAGAGGAGAATGTATGGGTGCTACCTATGCCATGCCAACCCATGGAAGGTCTGGAGAGCATTTTAGGAGTGCATTTCAACAACTTCCCTCTTGGGGATTCCTTGTGGTCAGCTTTATTGCTATCACTGGTAGAAACAGCTACATAATATGTAGCATAGCACATTGATCTAAGGTCACCCCTGAAATGAGGACACCTCTCTAACAAAGACACTTTTTCCCCAGTTCTCGCATGCAATTCAACCTCTGAAATAAGGACACCTCCTTCCTTGCTGTCCCGTGGTGTCTGGATTTGAGTGGTTCCGTAACAAACCTATTTCTCTACCCTTTCTCTTTAGGCCTGGCTCTCGTTCAGAGACAATTCAGACAAAAGGTGGATAGTGCAGAACCTGTGTATATATACAGCACCTCTCCTCTCTCTCCCAGCCTCCTCACTAGCAACCTGTGTATACAGCACCTCTCCTCTCTCTCCCAGCCTCCTCACTAGCAACCTGTGTATACAGCACCTCTCCTCTCTCTCCCAGCCTCCTCACTAGCAACCTGTGTATACAGCACCTCTCCTCTCTCTCCCAGCCTCCTCACTAGCAACCTGTGTATACAGCACCTCTCCTCTCTCTCCCAGCCTCCTCACTAGCAACCTGTGTATACAGCACCTCTCCTCTCTCTCCCAGCCTCCTCACTAGCAACCTGTGTATACAGCACCTCTCCTCTCTCTCCCAGCCTCCTCACTAGCAACCTGTGTATACAGCACCTCTCCTCTCTCTCCCAGCCTCCTCACTAGCAACCTGTGTATACAGCACCTCTCCTCTCTCTCCCAGCCTCCTCACTAGCTACCTGTGTATACAGCACCTCTCCTCTCTCTCCCAGCCTCCTCACTAGCAACCTGTGTATACAGCACCTCTCCTCTCTCTCCCAGCCTCCTCACTAGCTATAGGTCCATTGAATGGAACAGAGGGCACAGTTTACACATGCACTGACACCCGTTTCCCTAGCTCACACGGCACACAAGCACTGCCAATGCAGCGTATAATATAGCCCCCCAAGAAGTTGATTTTACTACATGCACACACACACACACATACCTTACACAAATTTAACTACAAACTTATAATATGAACCCAGCGACCCAGGGCCCGACAAATAATAAGAGACCTATACCCTTGGTAGTAAGAGTACATTTCCTTGAGAACTCTGAAATCAGGACCATACACAGGGTTGTCCTGTTAGCATGTCCTATAGGACGTACCCCTCTCGTTGTCTTCTCTCCACTACTTCCTCCATTCCTCCGACCTTTGGACCCTCGTCCACCACCTCCGCCACTTCCTGTGTGCATTGGGTGACAATCACATGACAGCCATGACATCACAGTGACATCACCCCCGAAACATTCTCATTTCCTCCCTCGACTTCCACATTGCACACTCATTAATTCACAGATTCCTCTAAAAACAGTTTATCGCAAGTGATTTGATGCCCTTTAGTAAATGTTTACTTTTCGTCAATCACAACACGGCAAGTGTTTTCTTTGCCAGCTAGCTAGAGGCAAGGGCATGAGAGAGACGAGAGGGCAGAGAGAAAGCTGGAAAGAACAGCTACATTCCACTTGCATGCCATGCTAATGAATGGTAAGTGGCTCTAAGCAGTAGGCAAATGTCATACTAGAAAGTAGCCCACCCAGCCTAATGAGCTGAAGAGAGGTAAAGAAAAACCAGAGATGTATCAGCTTACACCACCCCATAGAAAAAAGAAAAACCAGCTTCTTTTAGAAGAATCTGGCTGGTATGGCAGCACAGTGCGCTAGCCACCACCGAGCTACAACTCCCCCAACAAAAGATCATCTTTCTGAGACCTTGGTCATGATCTTCTCCTCTTCGTCTCTGTCTCTGATTTTCTTTCTCTGGTCCTGCGTCTCAAACTCCTGAAACATGTCGTTGAGGTCCTCCATCTCGCTCTGCAGGTACGAGTCTAGGTCCATCCTGACGCCCTCTAGCTCCTGCTCCGACCTGTACACGACGCCGTGGGCGAGAAAGGGAAACGGTACTAAGTACGGCGGCCTCCGCGTTTGTAGGTAAGCCCCGTAGAAAACCAGCGTTTTCTCAGTTCTAGCTGGCTACGTCGAGCTGGCTACGTCGAGCTGGCTACGTGCACCACTCCTACGTAGAGCGCTAGCAGTAGAGCGCTAGCAGTAAGCTAGAGCTACCCGCGCAACTTACACAACTGTAAAGCCCTGGTTAGCTCCTGCAAAATACGATGCTCACGACCGTTGGCTCGCTGTCAAAACCGCTTCTGGGCGTTTGCTTTCCTTCCGGTTCGTTCTCTTGGGTGGTGTCCGCGAGGTGCGCATTGTTTACGAAATCTTCCCGCAACGCCCACGTAATACGGAGGCACAGCGCAACACGCAGGCCCCAATAAGGACATCTGTATAATATACCTGTGTTCTTTCCTCAATGGTGGAGGCGGGGAAGCACGTTCCTCGACCACTCTCCAAGAGGAGGGAGACAACTGCTCTCTTTTCACCACTTCAACACTCTCTTGAGGTAAAGATATCCTTGTTCGAGGGAAAGTGACACTTTCTCTGTGAGCAGCTCCACCCATCCTCTCTACCCCTCTCTCCATTGTCTCCTTCTCCTTGTCGTCGTCCTTTCTCTCCTCCTCCTCTTCCTCTGACTGAACCAACTCTAACACACTCTCTATTTCAGCCTCAATGTCATCAAATTTTGCTAACAACAGCTCTGCCCCTCCCTCCGCTCTTCCCTCCCCTCCCTCCTCTCCCTCCTCTCCCTCCCCTCCCTCCCCTCCCTTCTCTCCCTCCTCTCCCTCCTCTCCTTCCCCTACCACCTCATCAACCCATTCCTCCTCCTCCTCTTCTTCTTCATCGTCACCATTCTCTTTCATCTCTGCCCCCTCCATATCTGCTATGGTCTCACGCAGACCCTTCACGCTGGTGGTATGGAACCACGACACGTAACAGATGGAATCTGGAATGGAATGGAGTCTGACCTTGCTCTCTGATACTCGTCCATCCCGCTACTCTCGTTTGGGAACTGAGACTCCAGGTTCCGGCGCTGCTGCTCACACAGACGATCCCGGGATTCCTTCGCGATAGAGAAGACGAAAATTAGAATCCAACAAACTAGAGACGTTGATGAATTTGAGGAAGTACGCCCAGTTTGCACGTGGAAGCATACATTTGTATGTGGAACTGATCTGCCTACATGTTTCAAGTAAACAATTAACAGGTCACTATTTTTACATCCTGCCCAAATATTGCACCTAGCTTTAGACAGCTTCAGACAAGTTACACAGAAGTTAATTTTTGCACTTATGCTATATAGAAAACCGGTGAGAGAGAGAAAGAGAAGACTAACCTTCAGAAACTGTCTGGATTGAAGAGATAGAGATTCTAGTTCAGCCTGGACCTGTTCCTCTGTTTCTGTCTCCTCCTCCACCCCCTCCCTCTCCTCTTCCCCCTCCCTCTCCTCTTCCTCCTCACTCTCAACAATTAGCTGCTCCTCCACAACCTCATCCGCCCACTCTTCCTCCTCTCCTCCTTCCTCTCCATCTTCTTGGCTTGCGAGCTCTCCATTAGGAGCTATCACAACCTGCCACAGCCACAAGACAAGAAATCCCTTCAAACACTTAGTGAAATCACACAGTATGACAGCTTAACTATCGCGACAAAACGAATCGCTGAAAAGCTGATCTGAAGCTAACCCAACACATTTCGTAATTTGCGAGTTTTTTCACGGAAGTTATTCAGGACACTATCCATATTAGCATGTCCTACAGGACAACTTCACCTGCTCAGCCATCATAAGGTGGTGGTTAGGAGGTGAGAGGACTGACGTGAAATGAGCAGTCTCCAGTACCGTCCCTCTTCCCTCCCCCTCCTCTTCCAAAATCGCGACCTCGTGAACCCTTTCCATCGTCGTCATAGCAACACCCTCCCCGTTGCCATTGGTAACCAAGCTCCTCCCACTCAGTTGGGCCCCACCCACATCATTTGGCGGCGGGAGCAGCGAGGAGAAGGGATCGGGTTCTTGTAGCGAGAGAGAGTCATTTTCAGGAGTGAGGGAATGAAGGATCTCATCAGTGAAAGGGCGAGAGAGACTACACCCCTCAGGACCATCTTCCAGGGGGACAGTTGGCGGAGGAAAGAGGTCAGAGGTCACAGAGACAGGCTTCGGAGTGGGTGGAGTCTCGTCCATCATTTCTCTGGCTTCAGCCACAATCTTGTAGTACTAAAAAGCAAAACATGTCGGTATAATGTGAGCAAGCCACCATCGTAAAGGACATGTCAATTGTAAAACGTGGGGTTTACTCTAAGAAAATAGTGAGTACAATAATTGGCATGGAGAACTCCCTTTTCTAATAAACAATGAACAATTCCTTACTCAAGGAGGACCCTAAGGTGAAAAGGTCACTATTATTTCCCAGTGCTCTGAGTTTTTTTTCAGAAGCTAGTGACCAAAGGTGGACATCTTTGTGAAATGTAAAAGCAATGATGTGTATACCTCAAATAATAGTATTGTATATACCAGTGGATGTAGAAGGGAGGAGGGGTCGAGGGTTAGCGGGAGAACGTGGCTAAGTTTGGCCAGGAACACGAGGTGCATGGCCAACACAAACTCCAGGAATACCAGTTGGCCGTCTCCATCCCGGTCCGAGAGCCGCCTGCACGGAATGGGGACCAGGCCACGTGGAATGGGAATCAGACCAGGTGGAATGGGAATAATTCTATATACTTGGAGTTATTGTAACAGACTCACCAAATTTGGAAGAGCTGTCCCGCTGAGAGATTCGTCTTTGAAAACAGATACTTTGTAGCCTCCACTGCAGAGAGAGAGAGAGGAGAGAGAGAGAGGAGAGAGAGAGAGGAGAGAGAGAGAGAGATGAACTTTTCTGAGAATTCCTATACTGCTAGCCAAAATAACCAATGATTAAAAGTTTCCGGCTTAATCTTTTTTAAAAGTATGCTAGATATATTTTGGCATGGAACTTTCTATGCACGAGTGATGAACTAGAAGTAGGCTAATTTTTACTATATATCCACTGCATAATATTATCTCTAGCTTAACCCCCGCCCCCTCTCTCTGATTTCCAGGCTCCAACTTACATCCTAGTCTGCCAGTAACTATACAGGCCTTGAAAGCTGCAAATGCAGTCTGACATTTGAGCACATGTCTATCATCCATTGGCGGCAGCGTTCCACTCAGCAGTGTCTCGATGCTCTCGGCGAGGGGTGGAGGGAGGAGAGGGGGCGGGGCCACACCGTTCAGGGCACGGTGGACGAGACACATTGCGACAGAGAACTCTGCGGCGTTGAGTCCCCCGTCCATATCTCTGTCGGCCAGCCGCCATATCCGGGAGAGTACGGAGGGAGGGAGGCCGGAGCCAAGGAAGAAGTCCCTTCCTCGACCACCTGCAACGAGGAAGCAAATTAAGTCTAGAAAAACAGCATCTTGCACGGCTTCATTCCTAATGCCCCACCCACCACCAGAGAAGCGAGGTGTACATTATGCACAATTGTGGGCAAAGTCATTTTGCAGTGTTGGTTCTACAGCCATGTTGTTGCCCAGGTGTGTTTGCAAATATCAACTACTGATCACTGTGTGTTGAGGGGGTCTCCATGGCTACAGCATGCACCACTGGTGTGGGCAGAGTACACTTGCAATACAGTTTGATGGACGTAAACAAACAGGGCAACCAAATTTTGATACAGTGACATCATTGATTATGTATCAAGTTGTGGGTGACTGACAGCTGTACCATTTGTACATCTGACACCCCTTGATCCTGTCCAGTTGAAAGGTTAAAGTAATTTATAGTCATTAAAAACATGTACCAGTTGCCAACTGTGATCAGTTTCATCAATACACTGTTTCACCCACACACACTTCAAGTGTGCCCTCCAGCATACGAGTGTAGATACACACCTACAGCTACTAGCAATATATTAGGGTGCAAAAGGTGGGTGACAGGGCAATGAGAGCAGTTTACCACTGTTGACAACCTGTAGCTATACAAGGTGACAGTGTGTGGCTTATGCAGTAGGCGACTACACTGAGAGTGTTTGACTAGACGTTCGAGGGATTCATTGTGCATGTTTGTCATCAGTAAAGCATCACCTGGCTCCATAAGGAAGCAAGTGTGTGTGTGGTGTGTCAGGATGTGAGGCAAAGGTGCTGTTTTGCTGGAGCTAACTGCAGAGAACGCTTGCTTCTTCTTATCTTTAATTCCCAACTGCCTACGATACTAAATATATACTATCTGCAGTCTATTTCCGGTTCCTGTGACTTTCAGTTCAATTCAGAGCCAAGTTTCTTTACCATACATGAAGATGATGCCCACCACATGAACCAGGGAGGAAGGCGATGTGTGCAATCTTAGAGTTAGCGGCGGAGAGAGAAAGGGAGGAGGGAGAGGTGGAGGAAGAGGGGTGGAGGGAGAAGTTCACCTGTAAGTGGGTGTCCTGAGGGGTTCAAGTGGTAGAAGAATGCCGAGTAGTGGGAGAGTGTGTGAGCATCTACCGTTCTAGAGATTCTCTTGTCTAATATAAGAAAAAGGGGGAGGATATAGATAAACATTAGGCAGCACTAGCTACTGTTTGGCTAGCAATCACCGTGGCGTGAACGCTGGGCCTGCTAGTGAGTGTAGACTAACTCCCTGGCTACTATAGCTGTAACGGCTGCCGCCTATGAGTCAGGGCCTGGTTTCAGGCTAGCGAAGACCTCTAAACATGCATGCAGTAGTAGCGACCACTGATGACGAACGCCACGCCACACACTCCCAGGCTCTCGTTTGACTACACGCGCCGCAAGACCCACGCGATGCACAGCTGGCTGCAACACGGAACGAAGAGCCAGAGCAGACTGAAGTTTATATGCAACATAACTTACGGTACTCACTTCGCTATGCCCGACGTTCATCTTCTCTTCATCCTGGGGTCCTATGCAGTCACGCTATACCCCACAGACTGTGTGACTGCTGTCGTCTCGGGGCTTGCTGCTGCGACTCGACTTACGTATCATGCTGCCAGTGGGTGTGCCGCGATTGTGCGAGACGTGGGCGTGGTCGTTTTGGTAGCGCTAAAACGCAATGGCGCAGTGCATACGTATTTTTTGTCAAGTGTCTAAGTGACTAGTTAATGATTACCTCTGAGTCTATATGACACAGTTATGCAAACTGAAAAGCCAGCGTTTTTCTTGCTCGTAAACAAAACACGCATTGTTTGCGCATGCGCATAAATTGGCACGTCGCTCATCCGGCACCACACCACACCGGCCGGCTCACCTTTGAAGGTCTAAGAAACGACGTCTGCATCGATCGTTTTCGCAATATATATACCGTCACTTCCGGACCGTTAATGATTTCTGAGAGCTAGCTGCTGGCAAACTAGAGAGCAGCAGCAAAAAGCCCTGCGAAAAGCAAAGCTAGCACTTACGCGCGGTGTAACTGAGCTGCGCGTTGTTGGTGGTGCAATCTGTCTG